TGTGGCCTTATGACACACTTCCGGTGATGTCAGGGGGTGTGGCCTTATGACACACTTCCGGTGATGTCAGGGGGTGTGGCATATGCTAATGAGGTATGCTAATGAGTTCCCCTAGCTCTTTTTCTACGAAACAACCCCTGGTAAGAGCCACACAGAATAAATGTCAGATGTTTGAGAGCCGCAAGACATTAACAAATATTACAGGCATGTTTTCATTTAAAGTATGCAAACTTGCTTTTTATTAACATTAAATGAGACAGCCAAAATTAAAAAAAACAGAAGGGGTAAAAACAGATATTCATAATGATATTTATGGGCCAGTTTGGTGTCATGGTTAAGTGCGCGGACTCTAATCTGGGAGAACCGGGTTTGATTCCCCACTCATCCACATGCAGCTGCTGGATGAACTTGGACAAGCCGTAGTTCTGTCAGAGCTGTCCTTGAAAAAGAGCAGTTCCTGTCAGAGCTCTCTCAGCCCCACCTGCCTCCCAGGGTGCCTGTTGTGGGGAGGGGAAGGGAAAGGAGTTCGTAAGCTGCCCTGAGACACCTTTGGGTAGTGAAGGGCGGAGCATAAATCCAATCTCCTCTTCTCTTCTTCTTCTTATTTGCCCAATGATATTTATTTTTTTTGGTAATGATATTTATTTGTCTAAGAGAGAGAGAGAAAGAGAGAGGTGGAAAGAAAGAATGAAAGAGGTGGAAAGAAAGAGAGAGAGAGAAACAAAGAAAGCACATAGACAGGAGGGAGGGAGAAAAAGCACGCCTCCCCTTCGCTTCCCCAGCTGCCCTGCCGGGAGCCGCACAATAGGTGTGAAAGAGCCCTAGACTGTCCTCGTCATTAATGACTCACGTCTTGGTGTCCAGATGCTCCTGTTGCCTGGTCCCAGTGGCTTCTCCCCACCTTGGCCTTCTGGCTGGTCAACATAACGGTGGTTCTGGGCGCCTTCATCCGGCTCTTCATTTACGGCGAACCCGTCACGAGACCGCATTCAGAGTCCTCTGTCCTTTTCTGGAGGCACCGCAAACAGGCAGACCTGGACTTGGCACGGGTAAGTGTCGTGTGCGAGCACGTGTGTGATGGGACTCCAGGGGGACGCCGCTTGCAGAAGACTGTGGGTTACGTTTTATTTATTTATTTATTTATTAGATTTATACCCCGCCCACCCCAATGGGCTCAGGGCAGCTTACAACAGAGGCAAATGCCAGAACAGACAGTTAAAACAACGTAAAACAATCATTGAGTAAAGTGCGGTGCTCTTGATGTTAGTTTCCTTAATCCAAGATGAGTTCCATTTGTCAACCTAGCCTGACAACAAACATTCTTCGGTTAACTAGGCGTCTGCCCAGGGCCAGCTCACCTCCAGATCTAATCCACCGTCGAAGATGGCACTTGGTGGTGGTACAGTGACGGCAGCGGCTCCTATGCAAAGGCCTGGCGGAAGAGCTCCGTCTTGCAGGCCCTGCGGAACTGCACCAGGTCCCGCAGGGCCTGAACCTCCTCTGGGAGCTCATTCCACCAGACAGGAGCCGCCGCCGAAAAAGCCCTGGCCCTGGTCGCAGCCAACCTGATGTACTTGGAGCCAGGAACCACCAATAGGTGCTGCGACCCCGACCGTAGTGCTCTTGGGGGGCATTTGGTTTCAGGGGCATTAGGAGCTGGCCAAGTCTCAGTGTGAAATCATGGGAACAGAGCGCCTGTGACATGTTACGTTTTTCAGGGCTCTTTTTGTAGCAGGAACTCCTTTTCATATTAGGCAACACACCCCTAATGTAGCCAATCCTCCGAGATTAGTTGCTGTAGATTTTCTGGGTTGTGTGGCCGTGGTCTTGGCATTGTAGGACCTGACGTTTCGCCAGTAGCTGTGACTGGCATCCTCAGAGGTCGAAGAGGGAGTGCTCTCTCTGTGTCAAGGTCCTGGGGTCACTTTAGGTCACCTTGACACAGAGAGTCCTCCATCTTTCGATGTTATACCTCTGAGGATGCCAGTCACAGCTACGGGCGAAACGTCAGGTCCTGCAATGCCAAGACCACGGCCACACAACCCGGAAAATCTACAGCAACTAATGAACTCCGGCCGTGAAAGCCTTCGGCAACAAATCCTCCAAGAGCTTACAGAGCTCTTCTTACAGGGGCTACTGTAAGCTCTTGGAGGACTGGCTACATTAGGGGTGTGCCGCTTAATATGTAAAGGAGTTCCTCCTACAAAAAGAGTCCTGGTCTTCACATCCTTCCTGTGTCTGCAGAAATTGACACGTGGTTCCCAAGGATGCAAGGGCAGCTTATGATGGGGTGGTAGTGGTCAAGACTCCCCTTCAGCACTGTTTTCTCGACCTAAAACAGGCCTGTAGCCGGGATTTTGTGGCTTGTGGGGCAATTTTTTTTCCTGGTGGGGCTTGAAGTTCTCAGTGCAGCAAGAAAAGCCATGTAGCCTACAGAAAGCTGCAACCAGGAGAGATCTCTAAATTGCAAGCTGTCAGCCACTTGAGATGACAGTTCTCAGCTGCTGCAAGTTAATCACTTCTGCCAGCCTGAGAAACAATTCGGATAACAAGCCAGCAGGTGGGGGTGATGACTCCTCTAGTCAAGAAAGCTAACACTTAGGCAGAAAAACTCTCTGAAAGGAGACCAGTTTCTTGACACAGCGTTTGAAGGTATCCTAGAGGTCACCTACTCCAACCCCCCTGCTCAGTGCGGGAATCAGTCAACTACAGCACCCCACTCTACTTAAAGGAGCGCCTGCCTTTAAAAATGTTTAAAGGTGATCGGGAAAAAGCATTTTCAGGAGAAATTCTTGTGTGGCTGTGCTTTTAAGAAAGGGGGCGGAGCACCCCAAAAGCCCATCGTAGCTATGAGCCTGACCTGAAATGACCCTGGGAGGGTGCTGCTTGCCCAGTTGTGGAAAGTTACGTGTAGCCTGGGGTCACCTTAGGTCAGGAAAATGGCACAAGGGGAAGTTTTAAGCCCACCTCCCTCCTGGTACACTGTGGTCCCAGTCTGAATCAGCCCCTGCATGCCTGGGAACTGAGCACACATCTGTTCCTGTGGACCCGGGAAGGATGCAAGGAGAACGTAATGCATCGTTAGGCCCCTGAGACCATGACCACAGACACATTGTACGTTCTCTTTTGGCTGGGAAGTTGGCTGTGGGCCAGCGAGCTGTCTTTATGGGACACTTGTTTGGTTATTGACATGCTCATTGCAGAGCCTCCAAGCTCTGCCGATGGTTATCTGATCATGTCCAGACTTGACTACTGTAATGTGCTCTGCTTGGAGGATTCCTTGAAGACTGTTCAAAAACAAGATGTTGCGAAAGACAACATCTAGGCTGATAACTGCTGCAGGTTACCTGTAGCAAACCCTATTGGCCTTCACTGACCATTTCTGAGCATGGTTCAAAGTGCACAGGGTTGACATAAAGGTGACAACCTAGGCTTGGATCCAGCTGGGCTTTTTCTCTGCCCCAAACCCTCTTCCTGTTTCCTTTGTTTCTCGCTGTTTTAATGGTGCTTCCATGCGCCTTCTCCACAGGGGGATTTTGCCCAAGCCTCCCAGAACTTGTGGACAGCGCTCAAAGCCCTGGGCCGCCCTCTCCCCACCTCCAACCTAGACCTCACCTGCAGCCTGTTATGGAACCTGATCCGGCACGTGCTTCAGCGGCTCTGGGTGGGGCGCTGGCTGGCAGGGCGAGCCGGGGGCTTCTTCCGCGACCGCGAGCTCAAGGCTGACGTGCGCAAGAGCGCCTGCGACGCGGCACTGGTTTATCACCGGCTGCATCAGCTGCACATGACAGGTTAGACTGGGACGTGGGCTGGGCGTGGAAGAGACTTAGGTGGGGCGGGAGAAAAGAGCAAGAGTCCAGGAGCACCTTAAAGACTAACATAAATTGTGGCAGGACGTGAGCTTTCGTGAATCACCGCTCACTTCTTCAGATACAGCTAGAATGGGAGTCCATCCGTCCTTATGTCTTAGAGAGCGGAGTGACTTCAGAAGCTGAATGATAATAGCAGGTGAATGACAATAGCAGGCGTGATTGGATTAGACGGGATGTGCAGAGGGGCAGTAGACGTGGAGGAATCAGCACTTGTCATGAGACAGGACAACCTAGGTCTTGATTCAGTCCAGGAGGATGCATTGTCTTAAGCTTCATTGTCAATGCATCCACCTGGACTGAATCAAGACCTAGGTTGTCCTGTCTCATGACAAGTGCTGATTCCTCCACGTCTACTGCCCCTCTGCACATCCCGTCTAATCCAATCACGCCTGCTATTGTCATTCACCTGCTACTGTCAGACCTCTGCCTGAGACCCTGGAGGGCCTGCTGGCTCAGGGGTAGAGCATCTGCTTAGCCTACAGAAGGTCCCAGGTTCAATCCCTGGCATCTCCAATTAAAAAGGACCAGGCAGGAGGTGATGGGAAGAACCTCCGCCTGAGACCCCGGAGAGCTGTAAAGAGGGCCTGGTGGCTCAGTGGAAGAGCCTCTGCTTGGCATGCAGAAGGCCCCAGGTTTAATCCCCGGCAGCATCTCCAGTTAAAAAGGACCAGGCAGGAGGTGATGCCAAACACCTCTGCCTGAGACCCTGGGGATCTGCTGCCAGTGTGACTAGCCAATACTTCCCTAGATGGGCCGATGGTCTGATTCAGTACAGGGCAGCCTTTATGTGTTCACGTCTGATGGGGTGAGATATGTACTTGGCTTCTCTTCTGTATCAATGCCCATGACCCCCACCATTCCAACCCTAAATCCCTGCATTTGACACCACTCCCTCCCGTGCCTCCTTTCTGGACACAGATGTGAATTATATGGTAAATAAAAGGGCCTCTGACAGTGTACAGAGTGCCTTTCCCTCACCCCTGCAGCTTCCCTTCACATGCTTTAGGAGATCATAGAATCATAGAGTTGGAGAATCATAGAGTAGGAGATCATAGAATCATAGAGTTGCACAGTGCAGGAAATTCACAACGACCTCCCCCACACCCCAGTGTTCCCTCTAAGCTGAGTTAGTGTGAGCTAGCTCACAGTTTTTTAGCCTCCGGCTCACACATTTTTGTCTTCGCTCAGACGGGATCAGGAAGGAGGGCTCCAGAGCAAACTAATTTATGCAGCAGCCAAATGGCTCGCTCACAACCTTAATGCCGGCAGCTCACCAAGTAGAGTTTTTGCTCACAAGACTCTCCACAGCTTAGAGGGAGAATTGCCCCACACCCCCAGTGACCCCTGTACCATGCCAGGAAGATGGGGGGGGGGGGGAAACAAAAACTCCAGGATCTCCAGCCAACCTGCCCTGGAGAAAAATGGCTTCCTGACCCCAAAGTGGCGATCGGCATTTCCCTGGGTGTGTAAGAAAGGACCCCGAGAACTAAGCACTGAGGCGACCCTCCCTTCTCGTGATCTGCCCGAGTTCCCAGACTTCCCATTGCTCTCAGGTGGCCATCTAGCCTCTGTTTGGAAACCTCCACCACCTCCTCCAGAGGAAGCCTGTTGATGCTGGGTATTGAACCGGGGACTTCATGCGTTCAGAGCAGATGCTCTAGTGCCGAGCCACAGCCCCTCTCCAATCTCTGGCCTGGTTTTGGTGACATGGTCTATCCTCCTTTGCCTCCCGCAGGAAAGCACGTGGCCGGTCACCTGTCAGCTATCAACATGGCGCTGAGTGCTGTGAACCTGGCCGAGTGCGCGGGGGGCACCATGTCCGTGGCAACGCTGGCTGAGGTCTACGTGGCGGCCGCACTACGGGTGAAGACCAGTCTCCATCGCTGCTGCCACTTCCTGGCGGTAAGGAAGGGGGCGGGGTTACTGGCGGTGTGTGGCCAGTGGGAGGCGCTACCATCAGCGCTTGGCTTCTGGACCTGATCCATCCATCATTGACGGATCCCCAACAGGGTGCTTGTGGGCGCCAGGGCACCTGTTGACACTTTTCCTGGTGCCCACCCAGTGTTTCCAGGGAGTGGGTGGGGCTTATGCCCCACAGGGCTTCTGATTGGCCACTGGGAATTTGATTGGCTGTGCCGATTTTAGAAACATTGCTTCGGCACCAACTGCCGCTCCAACACCAGGATCTTCACACTGTTAAAGAAGGCAAGCTGCGGCAGCCATTTTGTGGCTGGCTCCACCTCCTGCAGCAGCCATTTTGTTGCTGTGACCACCAGTGTTCCCCCTAAGCCGAGTTATTGTGAGCTAGCTCGCTGCTTTTTAGCCTCAGGCTCACACGTTTTTTTCTTAGCTCAGGAAGGAATGGCTCCAGAGCAAACTGACTTATGCAGGAGCCAAAACGACACTCACGACTTCAATGCCAGCAGCTCACATAGTAGAATTTTTGCTCACAGGACTCTGCACAGCTTAGAGGGAGCCTTTTGCACAATTTATTTGGCGAGGTTCACTCTTTGGTATGCCCTGGCCCGGATAGCCCAGGCTCGCCCGATCTTGTCAGATCTCGGAAGGTAAGCAGGGTCAGCCCTGGCCGGTGTTCCCTCTAAGCTGACTTAGTGTGAGCTAGCGCACAGGTTTTTAGCCTCCGGCTCACACACTTTTGTCTTAGCTCAGGAAGGAGGGCTCCAGAGCAAACTAATTTATGCAGCAGCCAAATGGCTCGCTCACAACTTCAATACCAGTAGCTCACCAAGTAGAATTTTTGCTCACAAGACTCCACATCTTAGAGGGAGCGTTGGTGCCCACCAGGCTGCGTCAGAATTCCTGCAGACGGGAAAAGGCCGGGGACCCTTACATTCCTGTTATCTTGCCCTCAGTGTGCTGTATGGTATGCAGAGCGCCCAAAGACCAGGGGCTGTGCCACATAACTTAGTGGCAAAAGGTGGGTTTGAAGGAGGGGCTTGAAAGAAGAAAGAGAGGAGGCACCCCGCACAGGTTCTCGGAGAGGGTTCTAGGTGTAAGGGGCAGGAAGGGAGAAAGTGTGGGGGTCATCTGTAGGAGCCCAAAGTTCAGGGGTCTGTCTCCTCTCCTCTCTCCTCTCCACGTCAACGGGTTTCCTTGTGATCGTTCGGGCTCGCTAGATCACTACCTTGCAAGCGTGTAAATGGCCCCTCGTCTAGTCACCTATGGCGATCAGGGGATCTCCTCCAGGCGACCAGGCAGAGAAGTTATTGCAGGGTTCCCTGCCACCTTCAGTGCATGTAGCTGAAACAAACAGCGTAGGAATAGATGGGCGTCTGGACTAAGAACTTTGGTGAACTTCTTGACAAGATGGGCACGGGGGACCCCTGCCATAACTGCCGATTTGTCCCGCGTGCTCGCATCTGACTCTGCCGTTCCCTCTCTTCCCCACAGCGCTTCTTCCTCAGCAGTGCCCGGCAGGTGTTGCTGTCCCACAGCGGAACTGTGCCCCCCGCCCTTCAGTGGCTGTGCCACCCTGTGGGCCACCGTTTCTTCGTGGACGGCGACTGGGCCGTGAAGAGCTCCCCGCGAGAGAGTATCTACAGCTCCACCAGCAACCCCGGTACGGAAATGTAGGCCAGCGTGCCGTAGCGGATCTGGAGAAGGGTTCAAGTCCCTACTGGGGGGGAGAACCTTTGGCTAGCTGCTTTCCCTCAACCTCACCTACCTCACCGGGTTGTCGTGAAGACAGAATAGGGGGTGTAGCAGGGGGAAATATGGGGAAGGGTTGGCCTTTGAACCGCTGGCCTTCAGGCACAGGGAGGGGGGAAACAAACCTGACCCGAAAACTGGACTCAAGAACCAAAAGGGTAAGAAAGAAGTCTGATAAAGGGTCAGTATTTAAAAACCTCATCGACACTTATAATATACCAAAATACATGTATTTATTAGAAAGACAGTTAAAAACCTATAAGGGCCCAATGAAAGCCTCGTAAACAAGTAAACGAGTATCTTTCTTCTACAGCCTTCCTTTTCTTGGTCCAATATTCACTTATTGGTTATCTTATTGTAATATGTATTAAAGTTACGTGTACCTCAATGTTGTTTGACCTCTGAAGAAGGCCCCAATAGAGTGGAAATGCGTCAGGTCACGTGTCTCGGCCTTGGCGTTTAAGCCACCTTTACTTGTTTACGAGGCTTTCGTTGGGCCCTTATAGGTTTTTAACTGTCTTTCTAATAGAAGAAGAAGAAGAGATTGAATTTATACCCCGCCCTTCACTACCCAAGGAGCTGCGGTGGCTCAAGTGGTTCAGACACTGAACTGCAGGCTGTGGAAGGTCAGTAGTTAAGCAGTTCGAGACCTGAGTGTGCCGCATGACGGAGTGAGCTCCCGTCTCTAGTTCCAACTCCTGCCAACCTAGCAGTTCGAAAGCAAGAAATTGCAAGTAGATAAACAGGTACCACTTTGGTGGGAAGGGAACAGCGTTCCGTGCGCCTTGGTGTTTAGTCATGCCGGCCACATGACCACAGAAACGTCTTCGGACAGCGTGGCTCTTCGGCTTTGAAATGGAGATGAGCACCGCAACCCTAGAGTCGGATTCGACTGGCTTTCGAGCAAGGGAACCTTTACTTTTTATTCACTACCCAAAGGAGTCCCAGAGCAGCTTACAAACTCCTTTCCCTTCCCCTCCCCACAACAGACACCCTGTGAGGTAGGCGGGGCTGAGAGAGCTCTGACAGGAACTGCTCTTTTTCAAGAACAGCTCTTATCAGAACTGTGACTTGCCCAAGGTCATCCAGCACATGCAAGTGGAGGAGTGGGGAATCAAACCCGGTTCTCCCAGATTAGAGTCCGTGCTCTTAACCACTACACCAATAAATACCTGTATTGTTGCATATTATAAGTTTTAACTCAGTTTTTAATATTGGCCCCTTTATCTGACTTCTTTCTCACCCTCGTGAACAAAATAGAACACTTATGGCATAGATCTGATTTCACATCTGAACAAATCGCTCTACATGGTATTTTGTGATTTTTATGATTCGCGATTTTACGTTGTTTTCATCTGTTCTTAAATGACCGTTTAACGGTATTGGTGTAAACCGCCCAGGGCCCGCCCACAGGGAGGGTGGTATATAAATCAAATAAATAAATAAATAAATTGTAGGGTCTCGGCAGCGTTGTCTGATGCACTCTTTCTGTCCCCAGTTGATCCCCTCGCACAGGTGACCCAGCTTTTCCGGGAGCATCTACTGGAAAAGGCCCTGTCTTGTGTGTCCAGGTTGGAGGGACAGCCACTGGTCAGCCACGGCGAGGGGTAAGCCAGAGCTCGGGGTTGTCTCCCGGAGGGCCCCCCCCCCCCAAGCATCTACGTCCCAGTTCTCTTGCGTGCACACTGTTAAAGGAAATTTTAATTTGTAAGCACGGTTGCACCTGAAAGGTAAACTTTTTGAGTGAGTTGAGAACTGAGAGCCAGTTTGGTATAGTGGTTAAGGGCGGCGGGCTCTAATCTGGAGGACTGGGTTCGTTTCCCCACTCCTTCACATGCAGCCAGTTGGGTGACCTTGGGCCAGTCACAGTCAGTGTTCCCTCTAAGCTGAGTTAGTGTGAGCTCGCTCACAGATTTTTAGCCTCCAGCTCACCCACATTTGTCACAGCTCAGGAAGGACGGCTCCAGAGCAAACTAATTTATGCAGCAGCCCAATCGCTTGCTCACCACTTTAATGCCAGTAGCTCACCAAGTGGAATTTTTGCTCACAAGACTCTACAGCTTAGAGGGAGCATTAGTCACAGTTCTCTCAGAGCTCTCTCAACCCCGCCTCCCTCACAGGGTGTCTGTTGTGGGGAGAGGAAGGGAAAGGAGTTTGTAAGCCACTCTGAGACTCTTAGTGAAGGGCGGGGTATAAATCCAATCTCCTCCTCCTCCTCCTCTTCTTCTTCTCTCCTCCTTCTTCTCCTACTCCTTTTCCTTTTCCTTCTCTCCTCCTCCTTCTCCTTTCCACTGCATTACTGCATAAGTGACTGGAAGAAGGAGCAGTGACTCATGCAGAGAAGTACTGGGAAGCCTCCTCTGGAAGTGGTTGCTCTTGCTGCCTCCCTGCATTGCGCATGACCGAGTGGCACTGTAGAATTACTCCTTGGCTGGGTAATTGGAAGGCGCCAAGGGCAGAGCCATGAATCATACAGAGGCACGGCAGGGGTCCTCCTCTGTGGCTTCCAGGAACCTTTGGAGATCAGTGCTGTGGGTGTACGGGCCTGCAGCCGGAGAATGGCTGATCCTACCCAATAAATTTCATGAGCCAGCATTTGAGCTTGAAAGAAAACGTGCCCGGTATCTCAAACAGAACTGCATCGAATACAATTCCTAAAAATAGCGGGTGCAAGATATCCTTGTATTAAAACGACAAAACGAGTGTTAAAACATAGCAGGGAAGCTGAAGCCGCAGCATGAAGAGCGGGTTCGGGCAGACCAGCACTCCAGGGTTGGGCACAGGGTGAAAGAGCCCCCCACCCCAGTCCGTCCCGCGGAACGAGCCGAGTCACTTCCTCGTTCTCACCGAAGCATCGTTGGCTGTTGCCTCTGCACTGGCCAGCTGTGCTTTCTCTGCAAAACGGGGTGTGTACATTTGGAACAGTTTGCAATCCTGGTCTGTAGTGCGAGTGCAGTTTGTAAGTTCACAAGTTCCTGTGGTTTTGCTGTAGAAGACGAGGTAATGAAGTCGATTGCGGTGTAGCGGGGCGGAGGAATCGGTTGAGGCTGGTTCTTATATGTACAGATGAGGCTGCCAGATACGGAATCAGACCCCAGGCCCATCAAAGTCTGCACTGTCTACTCAGACTGGCAGTGATTCTCCAGGGTCTCTGACAGAGAGGTCTTTCCCATCACTTACTGCCTGGTCCTTTTTAACTGGAGATGCCGGAGACTGAACCTGGGACCTTCTGCATGCCAAGCAGAGGCTCTGCCACTGAGCCACAGCCCCTCTTTACAGCTCTCCAGGGTCTCAGGCGGAGGCCTTTCCCATCACCTCCTGCCTGGTCCTTTTTAACGGGAGATGCTGGGGATTGAACCTGGGACCTTCTGCATGCCAAGCAGATGCTCTACTACGGAGCCACAGCACCTCTTTACAGCTCTCCAGGGTCTCAGGCAGAGGTCTTTCCCATCACCTCGTGCCTGGTCCTTTTAACTGGAGATGCCGGGGATTGAACCTTGGACCTTCTGCGTGCCAAAAAGATGCTCTTCCACTGAGCCACAGCCCCTCTTGACAGCTCTCCAGGGTCTCAGGCAGAGGTCTTTCCCATCACCTCCTGCCTTCTCCTTTTAACTGGAGATGCTGCCAGTCTGTCTGGGTTGTAAGCCACCAGGGGGATTGAACCTGGGAGGACCCCCTGCATGCCAAGCAGACACTGTGCCACTGAGCTGCAGCCCCTCCCTAAAGGAAGCCTTGAGTCAGACCCTTGGTCTGTCCAGGTCCGTGTTGTCTACTCAGACTGGCAGCGGCTCTCCAGGGTCTCAGGTGGAGGTCTTTCCCATCCCCTCCTGCCTGGTCCTTTTCTCCTGGAGATGCTGGGGATTGAACCTGGGACCTTCTGCATGCCAAGCAGAGGCTCTACCACTGAGCCACGGCCCCTCTTTACAGCTCTCCAGGGTCTCAGGCAGACGTCCTTCATGTCACCTACTGCCTGGTCCTTTTAGCTGGAGGTGCCGGGGATTGAACCTGGGACCTTCTGCATGCCAAGCAGAGGCTCTTCCACTGAGCCACGGCCCCCCTTTACAGCTCTCCAGGGTCTCAGGCAGAGGTCCTTCCCATCACCTCCTGCCTGGACCTTTTAACTGGAGGTGCCGGGGATTGAACCTGGGACCTTCTGCATGCCAAGCAGAGGCTCTTCCACTGAGCCACAGCCCCCCTTTACAGCTCTCCAGGGTCTCAGGCAGAGAGGTCTTTCCCATCACCTACTGCCTAGTCCTTTTAACTGGAGATGCCGGGGATTGAACCTGGGACCTTCTATGTGTCAAGCAGATACTCTACCACTGAGCCATGGTCCTTCCTATCCTTGTAGTTTCAAGCCCTGGTTTAGTGTTACTTCTGAACCGTACTGGTTGGCGAAAGCTCTCTGAAATAGAAGGGATTTGGCTGTTTGGGCTGGGCAAAGCATTATCAAATGCCTTGGGAGGAGGAGGAGAAGAAGAAGAAGAGATTGAATTTATACTCTGCCATTTACTCGGAGTCTCAGAATGGCTTACATTCTCCTTTCCCTTCCCCTCCCCACAACAGACACCATGGGAGGTAGGTGGGACTGAGAGAGCTCTTTCGAGGACTGTTTGCGAGAAAACAGCTCTGAGAAAACTTGTGAGTGACCCAAGGTCACACCAGCTGGCTGCATGTGGAGGATTGGGGAATCAACCCCGGTTCTCCCAGATTAGAGTCCGCTGCTTTTAACCACTACACCAACCTGGCTCTCCATAAGTAGAGTATCCCCATGGGTAGACGTCGCTGCTGCAGGTCTGACCTCTTTGTGATCCCCCTGAGCCAAGCATAGCCCCACTAGGTTTGTACGTTGGTCCGTCAAGGGCTTAAGGAATGTTCCTGGTGAGGGGCAGGGGAATGAGTGCCAATCCACAATATAACGGCTGATAGGTTGCTTTTTCCTTGGGGTGGGGGAGTTCTTGAGCAGGGCAGGTAGAGAGAAGAGGATGTAATGGTTAGAGTGTCCGACAGTTATCTGGACAACAACCCACATTCAGACGCTCGTGCTGCTACGGAAGCTTGCTGGGTGACATTGGGCCACTCACTCGCTCTCAGCCTTGCCTACCTCGCAGGGTGGTTGTGAGAATTAAAAAGGAGGAGGGGGAAACAACGCCGTAAGCCGCTTTGGGTCCTCAGTGTGTAGGATAGCGGGTGGATCAATATGTACAGGGATATCAGACCACTATGGGTTTTTAGAAACCCAGAATTTGGGGGCATTTTGCTTTTTCACTATGTTCCACTGGCTAAGTAAGTTCAAGATAAAGGTAGAGCCTTTCTTTCAATCCCTAACACGCCCTCCGCCTTGCTACAGGGAATTTTCCGATGCCCTCGAGTACCTGAACTTCCTCAACAGCTGTGCAGACGCCGTTCCTGGCCCGGCCCCCTTCATCAGCACCAATATGGATGCCACCACGGGTAAGTGTTGTGGGACCGGAAGGAGTAGGGGTGGGAGGGATGGTGAGTTAGGGGGCAGGGAACCAGAGGAGTCAGAGGCATGACCGCAGCTGATGCGTGGATGGGGGGATTGAAGGGGGATTCCCAGAGATTAGAAGCTAACAACGGGATGAAGGTAGGTGGATGGAGGGAGAGTGGTTGTCTGAATGCCCCCATTAGCTGTGCACTTTGATACCTGATGCTCTTTTTCCTCCTCCGTTCTCCAGGCACCGACCCCGTGGCTAATTGGTGGTCCTCCGTGGTTACCATGGTGATCCACGGGTTGCAAGGGGACGACGAAGCCATGGACCGCCTGTACCCGCTCGTGGAATCCATGCCCAAAGTCCTGCAGACGTCTGAGTAAGTGCGCGGTTCCCCCTTTGGGGCAGTCCCAAAGTTGCTCCTGCAGACGTTTAGGTGCGGGAAGCTAGGGTCTCGTTCAGCCACAGAAGCAGAGCTGGTCGCCTCCTCTTCTGTGAAATCTGCATCAAGCAAAGATGGATCCTGCAGTTGGTATAAAATTATGCCTCTTTTCAGTCGCATCTCATTCTGCTTTTGTTAGTCTTGGTGAGCTAGGCGGGGCACCGAATTTTCCCCTTTGACCTGGGAATGGTCATTATATTGGACACTGCCCCTACACTCACTTTCAAGCATGCTGTCAATAACGTAAGGTCTAGAAACTTGACTCAGTAAAGAGCCCAGGGGGTGAGCACATGCAACAAGCCCCACCCTCTGCTCCCAGCAGCCCTCAGTCAGAGCAAGAAGCAGCCAGGTAAGTTGCAGAGCTCCCCCTGGTCCAAAACAGTCCAGTGGCACCTTTAAGACCAAGTTTTATTTAGGTACAAGCTCTCCCTCCTCTGCGAGAGCAGATCTGCACGTTCCCCCCCCCCCAATAGCTAGGAATCCAAAAGAGTCCCGTGGAGCCTGAGCGGTGGATGTTGCCTTCTGACACACTTCCGGTGATGTCAGGGGGTGTGGCATATGCAAATAAGTTATGCTAATGAGATTTGCTAATGAGCTCCTGCACATCTTTTTCTATGAAATGACCCCTAATGGGCAGGATTTTTATTTTCTTTGAAGCAGTGGAATAGGGTTGCCAAGTCCTCCTGTAGCTGCAGCGGGGGGGAGTTCTGACCCTCTCCGGGAGGTCCTTGGTGCCGTATGCTTTGCTCGCGCACCACGATGACATCACCTGGAAGTGACATCATCGCGTCGGGCACGTTGGGGGCTGGACCACTGTCATTCAAGGGAAAACTATAGAGTTTTCCCTCGAATGATAGAGCGTCCCCCCGCAACGTGCCCGATGCAATGACGTCTCCTTGATCCCAGCACTTTGGGGGTGGGGTTCTCCCCGGCGGCCCGATTTGGGCCGGCGGGTTACAGACCCATCGAGCGGGGTTTCCCCCGCCCCTCCCGGGGGACCTGGCAACCCTACAGTGGAAGAGTGTATAGATTAATATATATCGGTTGCAGCTTCACTCTGGCCTTGTCCCCCCCTGCAGGAACCCTCTTCCACGTGCAGCACTGCACACCTTCAAGGCCGCCCGGGGCTTGCTGGGCAACCTGGACTGCAGCCTGGGCCAGTGTGACAAAGCCAGTGACTACCTGCGGGACAGCTTGGGAGGGAACGCGGCCACAAGCACTATTGACCGAGTGAGTTGCAAACTGGGGGGGACGTCGGGTGCTCAGTCCGGAGGTTGGGGGGAGGAAGGTGGAGTCCCAGAGTGGGGCTAAACAAATGCAGGGTTACGCTTGGGGCACGTAGCGCCATTCTCTCTTCCGGGTGTCCTCGGTCAATGAGAATACGTGCGGGGGTGGAGCTTAGAGCATGGGGGGGGGCGCCCGGTGTGGCACTCCAAAGGCAGGGCAGAGCTTTGGGATTTGCAAGCGGGCCAGCAAAGGAGTCAGCTTTCCTTTTCAGTGTTACTGCTCCCAGAGTGAGCCGATCACCTTCCCGACGGCGATGGTCTTTTGCGGGGACCAGGAGGCCCCGTGGTCCTTCGTGGCGTGGCCGATGTGGCAGTGGCGGGGGTGCATTGTAGTTGCATTGCATGTGCAGCCAGAGATGTGCAATGCCCCTCCAATGCAGCCCCGAGGCAGCCCCCCCCCACAGCTGAAAGCCACGGTAACAACTGAGGGGGCCCGCTGGAAGATGACGGACCTCTCCGGGATGGGATGGGATGGGGGGGGGAGAAGTCTCTTCCTTCCGGCCCACGTTGCCTGGTGGGCCTCCGAGTCATGCACCACCCACCCTCCCCGGTTTGCATCTCTTTTGCCAGTCCTCCTCTCCCCCCGCAGGCCATGCAGTTCCTGCTGTGCGACCTCCTCCTGATCATCCGCACGAGGCTCTGGCAGCAGCAGATGCAGGCGACTCAGCCCCACGGGAGCCCTTACCAAGCTTCTGCCCTCGAACTGCGCGGCTTCCAAGGGGACCTCAGTAGCCTCCGGCGCCTGGCCCAGGCTGACCGGCCCGCTATGCACAGGGTAAGAGTGTGGCCTTGGCTATCCTTAAATTATTCCCCCGGGAGAATAGTGTACAGTTGAGTAAGCCTTACACAGCTGTATCTTTTGTACCATGTATTGGAACCTGGAAGTATGAGGTGTGAGAGACCAACCATAATGGGTCCTGTAGACACAGTGTGGCCGCGGTCACAGTCCTTCTGATTGGGTTTTGCCGCTGTTCCACATGTAAGTTTGCTGATCAGACAGGCGAATCCGCCTCCCGCGCCGAAGCGGGCTCACTCCCGCAATGCTCCCGGGTTTCCCTGCCCCTGGGAAAACCAAGTATTTTCCTGGCACTTGCGCTTTGAATGTGCGATTTCGCCCATCTGGACAGCCATCTTTCGCAATGATTGCGAATTTGCGATTAGGGCCATCTGACCGCTCTGTGCATGTTTTTTTTTTTAAAAAAAACCTTCCAGCTTTGAGTGCTTGAGTAAACAAGCGCTCATCCTGCTTGGAGAAAAGTCCTGCCCGCCGTCCCCCGTCATGGAGGCGGCGTTGAAAGTTTCTGGGGGAGGAAGCCGGGGGGGGGGGCTGTCAGGAGAGCAGGCTTTGGCATCCGCCTTAGGAGTCCCTAAAGCTGTGGCGTTAGGAGGGAGGGAGCCCCGGCACTAGGGAGCACGCCCAGCTAGCCAGCAGCTTCGGGTGGAAAGGAGAACTCTTTCAAAGGTGCCTTTTTCTTTTCTTTTCATCGGGCCGGTGGCCGGAACGTTGCTGGGGGGGGGAGGTGGGCAGGCGGGGAAGGTGAGCTTGCGGTTCAGGGATCACACTGTGGCTACACGGCACGGCAATTGCACTTTGTTCCCGATGTAATTAAAACCGGAATATTTTTTTCCGAGTTGGGATGTGTGAACATCCCAACTTGGAAAAAAAATTCCGGTTTTAATTACATCGGGAACAAAGCGCAATTGCCGTGCCGTGTAACCACAGTGTGATCCCTGATTGGCAGGTCTCCGGGCTCCCTAATTACCTGTGCCAGTTCTCGCCGTTTCTGAGACTTTGAGGCTGGAGAATGAGGGTTGTGTGGGTGAGACTAAGCAGTGGATCTCTGAACCAGCTGTCCTCAACCTCCTTCTCGACCCTGGCCCCGACCTCGTGGAACTCTCTACCAAATAAGATCAGGGCCCTGAGGGATCTAATGGAATTCCGCAGGGCCTGTAAGGTGGCGGCTTACATCATGGCTGGCACCCTTTCTGGATCTCTATCCCTTGATTTTTAATTAACGAATTATATGTTCCGATGACGGTTTTATGGTTTTACTGTTTTTACATCTGTACGTTGCCTAGAGCCCCACATTCGTGGGGATTAGGCAAGTCAAACATGCAATTAAATGAATAAATAAATGGGAGGCACGCAAGTTTGGGGGAGGTGCCCAGAGTTGTGAGCGCCCAAGAAGAGCCCTGCTGTGTCAGAGGGTGGGTGTATCTAGTCTAGATTATCCCTGGTTTCTTTCGAACGGAATCTCAAGGTATGTGTGTCCATACTCGTGCAGATGGGGTACTCGTTTGGAAATTTAAACTCTGTTCTAGGGAATTTGCCCCAAATAGGGTAGGGAGCTGAGAAATACTGCAAGGGAGGGCTTGGGAGGGCTGACTAGAAAGGGGGTGTGGCTGGACACTTGGGGTAATGAGACCTGGGAGAATGATTCTGGGGGGTCAGCGGTCCCGTGGGTGATGCAGGGATAGTGATTCAGGAAGGAAGAGATCCTGCTGGGGATTTTGTGCCAATCGTTGACTCCGTGGGCTCCACCCCAGGTTTTTCTGCATGAAGCCACAGCCCGGCTGATGGCCCGAGCCAGCCCCACGCGGACCCACCAGCTGCTGGACCGGAGTTTGCGCCGAAGGGGGGCTTCAAGCAACAAGGGAGGTGAGCCAGCTTGCGTACTTTTCCCGATAAAGACGTACTCCCGTGTCCCATCTTGTGTCCTGTTAGTGTCTCTGATGCTACCCCGTTTCTGACAAATCCATGGCAAAACAGAGGTTTAATGCTCTTGGTTATCACAGTTGTAGATTCAAACGACATGTGAAATTTCCCTCCTCCTTCATCACTTTTCCTTTCCCAAATCAGCTATCAGGGCTGCTTTTTCAAGGAGGGGGATGGCATCAGGGCTATTTAAACAGTCCTTCTTTGCCCTTGCCCACCGGAAAAAAATATATATTGTGCTTCATGTACCCCCGGGGGGGGGATGTACATTTCCCTTATCAGAGGTAAAAAGAAGAAGAAGAGGAGATTGGATTTATCCCCCGCCCTTCACCACCCAAAGGTGTCTCAGAGCGGCTTACAAACTCCTTTCCCTTCCCCTCCCCACAACAGACACCCTTGGGAGGTAGGTGGGGCTGAGAGAGCTCTGACAGAAACGCTCTTCTTTCAAGAACAACTCTTATCAGAACTACGGCTTGCCCAAGGTCATCCAGCCAGGTGCAAGTGGAGGAGTGGGGGATCAAACCCGGTTCTCCCAGATTAGAGTCCACACACTTAACCACTACACCAAACTGGCTCTCGCGATGGGGCGTGAGTTGAAAAACTAGGGAAGGTAAAGTTTAAAAGAGTCTGCTTCCCCGCTCGCCATGCTGTTGAGAGCCAGTTTGGTGTAGCGGCTAGGAGCGCGGACTCTAATCTGGGAGAACTGGGTTTGATTCCCCACTCCTCCACGCGCAGCTGCTGGTGTGACCTTGGGTCAGTGACAAGTTCATTCAGAGCTGTTCTCTCATGAGCAGTTCTGGAGAGAGCTCTCTCAGGCCCGCCTACCTCACTGGGTGTCTGTTGTGAGGAGGGGAAGGGGAAGGAGATTGTAAGCCGCTCTGAGACTCCGAGTACAGGGCAGGGTATAAATCCAATTCTTCTTCTCCTCCTCCTCCTTTGGCCTCATAGCGAGTGGGATTTGGCTTGGAGTTATTGGGTATAGTTTAATATATGGGACAGAAAGAAGATTTTAGGATTCTAGTTGGTGCTAAGGCATGAGCCACATAATCCCAGGGGTCATTTGGGGGGGGGGACACGGGGGGAAGCCATCCCCCCGGGTGAGGTGCGGGAGGGCGGGGCCTGGAGCTCCCTGCTGGTGCCCACTGGAGGTCGCCGCCGGCTGTGGGGAGGACACACTTCCGGTGATGTCAGGGGGTGTGGCATATGCTAATGAGTTATGCTAATGAGTCCCCCTAGCTCTTTTTCTACGAAATGACCCCTGCATAATCCAGTAGCACTTTAGAACCCCCAAAATTGGAGGGCACGAGATTTCAGCAGTCAAATCTCCCTTCCTCAGATTTGTGTAGGGACTCTTGGGAGTTGCAGAGTGGTGGGTGCAAAAGGGAATGGGCCTGGAAGTGTTGGGTGGAGCATTGAGTTAGGTGCAGGGCTAAGCCAGGAATCCGGGAACAGGGGCTAACAGTCTGGTCTAGGGCACCGGGACTCTTTGTCCAGTGCTGAGCATTGCGGTTATGCCTCATCCTTCCCCTCCTGTTTCTTTCCTTCCAGCCAGTGAACAGGAGAACCACCCAACGGCGCGGGAGCAGGCCGAGGCCCTGTTGCTGGCCTGTTCCTACCTACCGCCCGCATTTCTCTTGGGGCCGGGTCAGCGGATGGGCATGTTGGCCGAGGCGGCTCGTTCACTGGAGAAGCTGGGCGACAAACGGACGCTCCACGAGTGCCAACAGATGATCATCAAGCTTGGCAGCGGCTCCACTGTTACCACCAGCTAGAGAGTCAGAGCAGAGGATGGGGTGAGGGGCGTGGGACCACCCTGCGGGGCGTGATCCCTGCAAGCACAACTTGCCTCTGTTTCTTGTGGACGGTTGGTGGGGGAGACGGGGGATTCTGAAGACCTGGACCTGCTGATTCTGAGCTTTTCTCTAGGTAATAAGTTCTCTACGCAGCTAAGACTTTGCCTCCCTAGTTTCCATGGCACATGTCCCCGCCCCCTTATTACGGTTGTGTTCCGAGCAGACAGAGGTGCAAGACAGCTGCGGTGTTTGCTGGGGAGGGGGGAAGGTGGAATTATATCAAAAGCAATTTGTATGTGTGTGGGGGGGTCCTTATATCTTGAGAGACTTGTTGAGAAGGTGGAGGTGTCGCCCCCCCGCCCCCGAGGATGGACTGTGACCTGAAATGCACCATCTTTCTTCCAACACATTCATGCTTGGTGTCGACTCCTTGCCCACCCTTGGCAGCGACTTGGGCCCGATGGCTTTTCGCAATAGTTTTGCTTCTCATCTGCCCACCGTGGCTCCTCCGGCCAGCCCCACGGGGGTTCATCACTCCCCCCCTTTCCCCATCTCCCTGTAGCCCTCCATCTTTAGTAAGGAAACGGGGACCCCTAGGGGCAGCTCCCCATATTGCAGGATGCTAATTTGTCTCATTGACTAGTGTGTACGAATAGAACTACAGCATCCAGGGTGGACTCCGGTCTGTGTCCCAGACTGGGCATTTGTTGACCAGCTGTTGTGTTTCCTTCCCCCTGGCACAAGGGCACAGCTGGCACCCTGGCACAAGGGCACCCGGTGGCAAAGCTGCTTTTGCGTGGCCATGTTTAAGGAGGGCGAAATTCTCGGGGGGCAGGGCCTTTTCCTTTAAAATGCACTCGTGTTCCGAGAAGGGGGAGGGCACTGGGGATTTTGCCGGTCTTCGGGATGTGGCGACTTGTGGTTCTCTCCTGTGGGGTGGTGTCCCTGAAAGCCGACCGTGTGAATGTTGAGGTACCAAGTCACCTCAAGGCTGTGTGGTCCCCAAGTCAAATCCCGCGGACGATTAGCGATGTTAGACCCTTGCAGCTAAAATAGAGAAGAGTCCGGTGACACCTTAAAGACCAACAGATTTTATCCCCGCATAAGCTTTTGAGGGCTAGAGATTTCTTCGGTGTCATAGATGACTTGAGGGGGGAAGTACACCCCCTCGTCACAATATTTCCATGGGGGGGGGGGAACCTGTGCTCCTTGGTGGGTGTTAGGAGCAGAGGGTGTTTTGCCTAGAGATGCTGGGAGTGGGTTTGTTTTTCGTATTTCAGTGGAAATATCACGATGGGGAGTTTCGCCTTGCCCTGCCAGAGAGAAGCAACTTCACATCAGAGGTGTCCGTGTGATTCGATCGATGAATATCCCGGAAAGAAAATGGCGGACACTTAGGTTAATTTCAGATTCCTATGTTCCGGCAGTTTTTTTTTTTTGGGGGGGGGACTCATTTTGTCTTTCCAGCCCCCCATGTAGACATTGGTCTGGCACTAGGTTCTGCGTCTTGGCCCTCCCCCCATCAGACTGTCTGTGTGGTGAGGAAGCTGTTGCTATGGGAACCATCCCATCGGGGCAGGGGCAACGGAGGGTTCCGGCTCAGTCATGGGAGAGACAGACGTGGGAACGGTGCCCCATACAGGGTTTCTCTCTTAGGTGCAGGCAACGTATATATCGCTCCCCGCCGCATCCTTTCCCCTACCTGTACCACTCTTCCTTTTAAAAGTTATTTTCATAGTGCGAGTTTTTTGTACAGATGATAAAATAAAAGCCTACTTATTTATATCTCCTTGTTTGTGAACTCTTGATGAGGGGGCGGATGGGAGAGAGGTCGTGCTTTTTTTTTTTTTAATTATCTCTCCCTTAGCTTGCATATGTGATTTTTCAACACCCGAATCACTTTTTTCCCGATACGAAGATATTCGGTTGGTTGAACACGAAACTGCCTTGGGTCCATCGAAGTCAGCCTTGTCCACTCAGACCGGCAGCAGCTGTCCAGGGTCTTTCTCATCACATACTGCCTGGTCATTTTACCTCGAGAGATGCTGGGGTTTGAACCTGGGGCCTTCCTTCTGCATGCCAAGGCAATGTTCTACCACTGAGCCACAGCCCCTCCCAGCCCGTAGCCCCCTAGTGTTTCTCCTGGGCCCCCTCTCCCGGGCTGACCCCAAAGTGCTCCAGCTTACCACCTGCACTGTACTTTCATTTAAGTAGCTGGCAGGCCCCCCAAGGCCCCCTCCCCCAAAACTCCCTAGCTCTACAGGCCTGCTCCCCTCACTCATTACTTGGTTTCTCTTTTTCCAGCTGGCAGCTGAGAGCCAGTTTGGTGTACTGGTTAAGAGTGGCGAACTCCAATCTGGAGAACTGGGTTTGATTCCCCACTCCTCCTCCACATGAAGCCAGCTGGGTGACCTTGGGTCAGTCACAGTTCTCTCAGAGCTCTCTCAGCCCCACCTACCTCACAGGGTGTCTGTTGTGGGGAGGGGAAGGGAAGGCGATTGAAAACCGCTCTGAGACTTCTTCGGGTAGGGAAGGGCGGGGTATAAAACCCATCTTTTCTTTTGCAAATGGACTCCATACAGCAACATGATACCATATTTTCTGCGGCTGATGTCGGATACAGGGTCGCCCATGCATACAGATAATTCATCTTTGGAAGAATGTCTGGGAATGCCAATTGAGACTAAAAGTGGCAGTCGGGGTACTAACTGATACCGCCCAGTGGGGGAACCCTTACACTCCATGTTCTTCCAGCGTCACTAGCTTCCAGTTTGTTTCCAGGCACAGGACAGGGTGGCTGCATTGACCTTAAAGAGCTACGAACTGAAGTGACAAAAAAAGAGACTAAATCAACTCTGTCCATGTGATCCTACCCAGAATTTGACGGGAAGCTTAGGTCTCAGACCCTACACCATCTGGATCCAGGCTGTTATTTACTCAAAACAATGCTTCCCCCCCACACACACAGTTTGCCAAGCCTCTGTTTTGTACTGGCGGTGGTCCAGTCTCTGGTCTTTCCCGGAAGGCTGTTGGTATGGGGTACACCGTGGACCAATATGATGGCTTTTACCTCTTAATTATTGGGGAGAGTTTTCTTTTTAAAATCTCGTTTCTTGTTTTAACGGCCACTTGCTATCGTTCTGAAAAGCAGCTGCAAAATGTACCACTCTGTTACATATACTAACAACATCGTGGCATGATTTTACACGCAGCGGCCGCATCAGACTCGGCTGAATAAAAAGAAATCCTTGCCTGTTGCGGTTCTCGAGCAACGGACAAACATGTGAAACTGTCTTTAGAATGCTTAAATAGGAGCGATATGGGTGGAAAGCGGCCCACGTTTACATCTGCTCCTCGTTCTTCCCTGGCTGGGAGCTGCGTGTAATGTCTTCTGCAGATAACAGCACGGATCACACCTGGGTTCTGCTCTTTCTCTGGTATAACCCACCTCTACCATCACAGAACACCTCACGTCCATTCCTGACCTTGAAAACTGTCTGCAATGCAGAGAATCCTGGTACGGGCTCAGTTGTCCCTGTCTTAAATCCTCCTGCATCTAGAAAACACCGTCATGGTCACCCTCGTTCTTTTGATCAATGGACATCGGCCATGGTTGCAACCGGGGGGAGGGGCTAATACAGCCCAGTATTGGGCCTCCCATTCCCCCGCCATGATTGAACAGGGCCAAAGCCTCAACCGAGTGCCTGTTCTGAAGTGTCTTTAATTAATTATTGTAATCTGTCCCTGCCCGTATGCCTGCAGTGGACAGGAGGGCAGAAAAATAGGGTACTAGTGGACTCTGCAAATGTCCAAAACAATTATTGAATCTTTATTGATGTTTTGAATGCAATGACCTGGTTTTTTTTTCTTTCTTTCTTTTTTTTTTAACTCTTAAGGAAAATAAACTTCTTTTAGAAACAGCTCGTTACACACAGTCTTCAGTGTGAAGCAATATACTAAATAAGAACACTAGTTTTAACATTTACAGTCTTTCATATATTATATATATGTATATGTATACATATATATACACTATCGAATGAGGCAATATATAATACACACGATTCGCCATTTTACAGTCATTATGTACAAGATGCCATTTAAGAGACAGCTGGGATCGTCGGTCAGCCCACGACGGCGTGGACACGGAGACTGCCGAGCCGCCAGCCAAGGTGTGCTTCTGAAACAAACTCACGTTTCTTCGCGAGCAAACCTTGAGGGGCGAGCTGGGGGGGGGGGCAGGATGTTTGGTGAGGAGGGTGGGTGGAGCACAAGGAATACCATGAACAGAGACAGGTCACGAGCGCAAGTTGGGAGGGGGGGACCATTGCTCAGAACGGGCAGGCAACGGAAACCGAACTGGAGAAGTGAAAAATTCACGACTGGCGAAGAGGCAGGGGAAAGGTGGTGTATTTTCCAAATGCCAAAATGGAGTCTCGCAACGTATATACATCCAATACAACTCGGGCTCCTGAACATATTCTGTAGCCGTTCATTTCGAGGTTGTGCTAGTACGGGGGGGACGGGGGACTGCCGTAGCTGTTATTATTCGAATCCGTTCTGTAGACTGCTGGGAAAAGAAAAATAATGTACTGATCCAACTTGGCCACCTCTGCTCTAACCCACCACCAGCTCCTTGATGCTGTACGTTAGGTGTTGATTTAAAAGCTAAGCGGCATAAATCCTATCTTAAGGTCCCTTCGGGATAAGTGATTCTTGAGTTTTAAGCGCATTAAGTCCTCATGGGATTTTTTTTTTTTTTGCTGGGCTCTGATGCACTGCGGCAGTGTGTTTGTGCCTGTAGAAACCATTCTCAGTCTGTATTGAAGCCCGGTCCTCCCTCACGTCCTATAGCAGACTAGGATAATCCTACCGTTGACTCAGTCCATTCATGGAAAGAATGTCTGGTCTTGAAATGACACAACCCGCCCCCTAGCTCTTTGCTTAGACATTGGGATCTTTTATCAAAGCACTGAACTAAGGGGTCATGGGAAATTGCCATCACCTGAGACAATATCGTATGAGTAAATTGCTTAGGGGTGAATGACAATTGGCTATGGGTCAGCACAAAAGGGATGTGGGTGCGGGTCATTCCAGAGTGACCCCGGCTGAGGGGTGGTGGAGGTGGTGGAGTGAGCGGACAGCTAAATTCCAAGCTAAATTCTTACGGGCCCTTTCCTCTGCCCAACTCGTAGGAGTACACCCAAACTGTCCTACCCGCTCTGTGAAACTATGTGGTTCCCAGTTGCCAGCAATTATACACCACGGTGCCAACCAGGCCTCACAGCTTGTGGTTCTGCTTTCCCCAGTTCTCCTCTGCTTTCCCCAGTTCTCCGGTTCCCTACTGGAGCTGGGAACCACCCAAAGAGTAATTGGTCCTTCAAGGATCGGCTGGTGCGGCGGCCCAAATTGTGACATTAAAAGCTAGAGGTTTTTTTTGGGGGGGGGGGGATGGACGCTCACACAGACCCGACAACAGGGCTGCATGGTTCAGTGGAATGGAGTAAGAGGGACTGGGGGAAGGAGAGAGAAAGATACCTACCAAAAGGAACATCCCCTGGACATTTACCAAGATATTAGGGATCTGCACCTCCCGGGAAGGCCTGCGGAACTCTCTCATCCAGCCAGCATCTGTTGGAGGAATCGTTCTGGAGCTTGTGGCAGGTGACAACATCAGATTAGTGCGGGTCACCGTATCTCAAAAAGGATATTGCAGAGCTGGAAAAAGTATAGAGGAGGGCAACCAAGATGGTCAAGGGAAAGTCTGGGCCTTCTAAGTCTGGGGGAAAGACAGCTAAGGGGAGGTGGCCCAGGCGAGCCCAATCTCGTCAGATCTCAGAAGCTAACCGGGGTCAGCCCTCGTTAGTCCTTGGATGGGAGACCACCAAGGAAGTCCAGGGTTGCTGTGCAGAGGCAAGCAATGGTCAACCACCGCTGGATGTCTCTTGCCTGGAAAACCCTACGGGGTCACCAAAAATTGGTGCATGGGGTGGAGACAGTGGACAGGGGAAGGGTTTTCTCCCAGTCCCGTAATACAGCCCGGGGCCCCCCACTGAAGGCGATGGGCAGGGCCAGAGCTCCAGGGCAGACGGAAGGAAATGCTTCTTTACTCAACGAATCATTATACTGTGATACTTGTTGCCGGTGGATGTACTGAAAGCCACGAGCACAGATGGCTTTAAAAGGGGATCCAGAAAGGTTTCTGGAGGAGAGGGCCATCGATGGCCGCTAGCCATGCCGAGCAAAGGGAGCCTCCATAGATACAGGCAGCAAACCTCTGAGGCACCATTCTGAGAAGGAGCCTTGGGGGAAGGCCTTGGCCTCCTTGCTCTGTTTGTTGGCCCACCAGGGCAACTGGTTGGCCACTGTATGAAACAGGACGTTGGGCTAGACAGGACAGGGGTCTGATCCAGCGGGGCTTTACGTAGAGGAGCTGATGACCTGGTCTACTTGTCTCACCTGGTACCATTTCTCTGAACAGAATGCAGGTCCCTACCTGTACTGACCGCCAATGCACCCATGATGCCAGTCTTCAATATCTGCTCTTATGAATTGAGTTCAGCCCTAATGGAAACCACCGGTAACCCATGTTTGGGGATTACCCCTTGGGGCAGCACGCCACAAACTGAAACGGCCACGTGTGGGGAGTGCAGACGGGCCAGCATACCACGCAGCAGAAGCGAACACAAGCAAGCTTCTTCCTTGGGGCCACAAGAGGCGGTTAAATTGATGTGCCAGCCTCTGAGGAAGTGCCCACGTGCTCCCAGTGC